CCTTTGTACAGTATGCACAGTACAGTCACACTTGCCACTGCCAGGCAGCATTGGCATCAAACTGCTGCCAGAGGCATCCAGAGTGTCAGGTGATTTCAAGCAACTGATTCTACAGTTAATAACATGTCAGGAAACAGAGCCGACCTCAAGTGCACACAGCTAATGTGCTCATATTCTTTTAGCTGATGTAGTTGAAAAACCTACGACTGTCCGTTGCCAAGCTATTTATTCTACGTTTATTATTAGACAATATGTGCTAAATAAAGATTAAATATTGCATTAAGTGCCAGTGAAGCCTAATACCAAACAATGATGTGTGATTTGCATATAATTGTGATATGAAATAACTCCCTCGAGCTCAGCAAATAATTAAGCTCGTCAACAAAACTGCAAAAAAAAATGGAATTACTACGTTGTGGTTGTATATCTCCATTAATTCCGTCCAGGCGGTCATGAGATATAGTGTTCACGAGAATGAGACGGACGGACAACCAGAAAACATTGTGCCTCAAGCAACGGCTAGCCCAGAGGCATAAAAAGCAGATTTAGCTGTCTGTTAATGGGCTGACGACCAACTGAAGCCTTTTGATGAGATTACCTCGACCACATCTCTGAGACCAACGCAAGGCTATCTGCTTAACTTCTGAGGGCAGAGGTCACAGACGGGTTATGGGAGGTGCTCGGATAAACCAATGAGAAAAAGCTGGATGAATTGTGCCTCTCCTTCACTGTGGGTGGCACGTCACATCGAGGACACATCAACAGACGCCTGACAGATCTGGGAGTGAGATCCAACTGAGCAAGAGGGTTAGGGGGAGGGAGTCAAACCCGCTGTCTTCTCGCATGAGTGCTGGTGGACGCATATCCAATGCGACACACAAATACACAAGGAACGCAATCACAAATACAACGCCACGCACACACACACTGCAAACGCACACAGTCACACAGAGGCTAGGAGGCAGACTTCCAGCTCTCCACTGTGGAGATTTGAGCCTGAACCGAACACGCTGCCTGCACAGAGAGCAGGTGTCAAACCAGGTAAGCGCTGTGCTCTGACGGTTAGCAGCAGCTAGCTCCCGGCTGACCTCACATCACAACTTGGCGACACGGATAGAGGGCATGAAAATTCCCAACGTAATGGAATAAGCAAGGCTAATGCCATAAAAATGGGCTCAATTACGTCTCCTGTCACCTCAGGTTTAGCCAAAGCATATCAAAGACTCAAGACAGGGGCCTCGTTCCTAAACTCAGATTACTGAGATTAATTCCCTTCAGCAGAAATTCAGTGGCTATTTCCTGTTCCCATAGATGGTAACTGTGGTCAACATGTCATTCAGGGCAGAACATGGATAGTAAATAACACAAGGAGAGTAAAAAGAGAAAGGCATCAAGAAAGAGAGAGACATGAGATGAGAAATGAACCACATGCTAGTGCAGCATAGTTGCTTTTTAGATGCACATTCACGTCTGCCCTTTAATAAACTCTCCTTTGTTTATAACTCATCTCAGCTGAACAGAGTTGTATAACTCTCAGTGTAAGATTTTACATGTTATTTGTTCATCCGAGGTCGATTAAATCAATATTTCAGGACAATTCCACTATTTGTTCAATATTCATTCAACAATGTTCAGAATGTTATGTTCTTTCCTTTTTCGGGTCAAACACTGAGTGCGTGGGGACAGACAATTAAAAGCAACACGTCACAGGATATTATTGACATGGATATTATGGTTTTCCATGGAGACTGAAGCGAATACAGGTCAAGTAAAAGTAAATGTTAGTCATGTTTATCGAAACTAAATGGGTTCATCTCAAGTGCAAGATCAAATATTATGCATTTTCAAGGATACTTGAACTTACGATAGTATATTCAAGATAATATTATCATCGAGTTGCAGCGTTTTACAGTGTTGTAAAGAGAACATTATACGTCTTTCCTTAGCCGCCCAAGTACTGTGAAGTGTTGGAATTAGAAACAAAGCACTGAGGATGTAAAAGTGATTTGCTGTTGAGTGTTTCATGAACGACCAAATTAACTGTGAAAGGCGCCGCTCATTGTGCGAGTTAAATTAGCTTTCATTTCATAATTTGCTCAGGTACACACAGATAACAGCCTCCGACTTACTGGTGTACTCAGGTGACACACATCACATGAAATAACTTTTTGAATATTAGATGTTATCTATCACGGGCAACTCTCAGGATGTGAACCACGGTAAAGGAGTCTCATTTCTGCAACAAAGAGATATGATCTTAAATTAGTCTTTGAAAGGTAGGAAAAAAATCATTTAAATTTAGTTTATTATGAATTAATGAAGTGGGGAGGCTGAAAGATAAGGAGGTTTTAGCTGAGAGTTCCTTTGTGCTCAATATTAAAATATATTAAAGCCTCATTAATAACTTACTCATAAAAAACCCATTTTGAAACAGTGGACCACTTAAAGAGTTGCTGAAAGCTTGGATGGATTTATAAATGTTTGTGATTACTTTTAGAATACTCGCCCTGAAATTGTGAATGAAGCTGTTCTTATGCGTGCTCTGTGCTTTACGGTCACACCAAACGGTTTGTCTCAGGTCGAGTATCATCTACTGCAACCTATTTATGCCAACGTGTATTCTCGATAAACCTCATCTTTGGTAGCCTGCAGTGTGGAAGAAATGAATCACAACACCTTGCGTTGAAGCTCCATAGCTAAACAAGTGTGTGTTCTTGCACCATGACTACAACAGATTAGCTCAGTCTGGGCAGTTTATTGTTAATCTTTGACTATCAAGAGTGTGGTATGAGGAGCAGCTTTTACACGTTTCCATACTGTCAGTAGTATATGTGATGTCCAGCCCAGTTTTGGGTCACCTTCCCCTTTTCTCCACTCTGTTACATCCCAAAACACTCTCCTCTCTTCCCTCTCTAACCTTACTTACCTCCCTTCTCCATTATTTGGTCATTCCTCCTCTATCTTTTCCCTAAACCCGACCGCGGGTGTCCGTTCTGTTCTGCTGTGATTGCCAGTATCAGTGCCATGGCTTTCTTCCCACTGGCCAAGATTTACCTCATTGGATCGTCCCTAATTACACACTCATTCGCTGCCTAATCTCCATAAACACACTCCACGGAAAACCCGCTTGATATTGGAATCCAGAAATGTTGTTTGCACAGGATAACATCAAGATTTCAGTATTTGAAAAAGATGTTAAATTGAAGAGTGTGACTGCACAGCAGGAATTCTGTGATATGGCGTCAGTTATCAATCCGTTTATCCCACTGCCTGCCGAACACTTTCCCTCCCTCTTCGCACTTCCCTGGTGTACAGTACACATTGGCCTGGAGTCTGTTTGTAGTCCACATTACTTCTTTTCAATTGGCCTTCAATGATGATCCGAGCCAGCGCAATGATACGTTTTCAAATGGTAAGCTGCGCTCGCTGTAAATCCAGCTTTTTGGCAGTTGCTCCAGGCCTCAGGGTTCAGGGTTGGCTCGTCTACAAGAGCTGAGCGAGAGATGGGATCCCATGCGTGATTATATATTAACCACTCGTGGTAATGGCGATGCACTTTTTCCTTTCTAATTAAGCTGCAGCTGATGTGATTATTACGTACACACCATTTTATTCTGGAAAACGTTGAATTCTGAGAAAAACCTATTCTGAATTATTTCCTGCAAGTATAACAACTTTACATTGCATTATAGCTCATAAGTCAGTGCTCTAATCAGTCCATTGTCAAGCAAACTGGCTTTTTGAGATGTCTGACAAAAACAGAATGTTTCAATCGAAAATGTCAGCTTGATAAATGACAAGACAACAGTTTACAGCATACGGTACATTTACAGGTCAGATCATATATAATTACTAATTTGAAAAGTTATTAATAACATTTGTTCAGAAGCGCCTGTTGTATATATACGAGATGTGTAAGAGATCCCAATCACAAAGCAAGTTCTCTGTTAAATGTTTAATTGTTGTGCAACATCTCAAAAATAATTTCTGCGCCTTGATTGCGGAGAAAACTTGGCAAACAGCACAATCAGCCCTCAGCCCCAGTCTGGGCTTCTTATGTGTTATCATTACATCTGAGACACAGAGCAGATTTTCCAAAAATGAAAGATCCAGCAATCTTTGAAAAGCCCCGAAATGCTGCTGAAGAGCTGTTATATGAAGATATTCCCAGAATCCTTAACGACTCTTACGGATGAAAAAAGAAAATGTGAAAATGTGAAAATTCATTAACAGGATAGATCCTAAGTGTATTATACAGCATCCATCCACAAGTGAAAGTCATAAAACGATGATCCTAATGTGAGATTATAATATTCGTAATAATGTTTTTATTTGTGTCCTATGACAAAAATAACTCTAAATCCTTTGCCTTCGCTCCTGTTTGCCCTCCCTTACTTTTTGCACCACATTGCTAGAGTGCTTTGACTTACTCCTGGCACAGTAAACATGTTCAGCACTTTTATTTGCCATTAGGCACTTTTTAAACTGTTTATCTCACCACAACCATCTGCTCTGTCACCAGTTGTTATTATACAAACAGGAAAAAGCATTTAATCCTAACAGCCTCTGTGAAACCTCCTTTTCATTTCATCTGTTCGACTCATCTTTCCATCATCCCCCTTTTTCCTGCCATTCGCCCCTCTGTCGCTGTCTGCTCAGCGTTTGTGTCTCTTTCTGTCTCATTTTTGCTGCCATCGATGGTAAGCCGTCAACCTTGACGGATGCGTTTCCACTAATGGCGCGCTGAAAGGTTATAGCTTTTAGAGCACCAGGCTGCATTTGAAGGGTCAAAGGTGAACTGTGAGTATGCAGGTGTGAAAATTGACAGCACCCAGAATTAATATTATACACAGAACATCAAAATGTTTCTTTATGTACTGCTAACCTCAGTGAAACCCACATTATAGGCATCAATTCAAGATGCACACATGCTACTTATAGGAGCAATGTCGGCAATAATGATCCAGTGGAGGAAAGGCACGCAGAGAAGTCTAACTCACCTTCTTTATTGTCTCATCTTCGGCATCTTTTCTCTCCTGTGCTTAATTCCAGGCTGCTCGTCCTCCGTGCGAGCACATTTCGCCACCTTGAAGTGAAAAAAGACAGAGTCCATGGTTGAGAATTCATCACAACATAGAAAAACACTCCTGTGGTGCTCTGGTGGCTAATGTGCTGGTCCATGTGCCATGTGCTCATGCTGTGATGTTGCTCCCTGCACTTTTTCCAGACTCACTTCAGTGTTGCAATTACTCGTGAAATGCTCGGGGATGGTAGACGGCACAAATCTTCTTTGGAAGAAAAGAACAGAAAAACCTTCCTGCTTCTAAGTTGACCCCAGAAACAAATTGAAAACGATGATCTTCATTGACCCGAGAGGGTGGCTTAAAGGACATTAAAATGTCTGTGTGTATAGTTAGCTAAGCAAAGTTTTGTTTGGCTGTAAAATCATGTAAAAACATGTTGGTTTTTATCCTAAACCTGTCTTTTGGGAAGCAACATCTCAGGGATACGGCACAAAAGGAGGGAGGGGAAAAAAAAAGATAAGGTTCATTTTAAGCCTATTTGAGCGTCTTTAAATCTAGCTTGTTAAGTCCTCTAGGTGTTTTGAGGGAGGGTGATTGTCTCAGGGCAATGACTCACTCTACTTAACAATAAAGCAGATAGATCACCAACACTCACTGCCATTTCTTAAAGCACAAGGCACTGGCCTGTCTTGTTGTGTTTTTTCCCCCCACATGAAAAAGGCTTATGTCGGAAAACATCCTGTTCTCAGACATCTTATATAATTATCCCTTGTAATAACCTATCAACCAGATTCATAATTGTGCTTAAAAGAATTGACTAACAATTTGCCAATTAGTTCAGTGGAAAGAATCCTTTTCATGAGATCCCATTATGGTGATGAAGAGGAGGTGGCAGGTAGTTCATTGTGGGGGCACTTAACAGATGGTGGTCTGTCCGACGCTCGCCAGGTGGGACTAGGTTTGGACAGGTTGCACACACACACACAGGTCAGAGGGGGGGGCAATGCTCCAGGGGGGCTTCAGGTCCTTTTCACATGACAAGAATGCAGTGATACCAACAAAAACAAAAGTCTGGCAATGTTAAGTTCATGCAAAGTTAGTTTTGTAACATTTATGCACTATCTACTTCAACTATCTATTTTGTTAAATACGCCAACTTAATCAAGAGTCATTATCTTCTTGGAACTTATATTTACTACTGACTATTATGCTAGACATCTAGTAATGTTATTAATAACTCAAAGTTACTGTGACAATTCAGAGAGGATGGCTAAGGCTTGTATTATGTAGGAGCGTGAGATAAATTCAGTTTTATAGTTGTTGAATTATTGAACATTTTAGTGATCTCAGGCTAACTCTGAGATCCGGTGCTGAATGAGTTCTCAGTATTAGAAGGTTCCCGTCTGCAACTCACCTGACCTAGAAAACCCAATTTAAATATGTGCGAGGATTTTGATATTTAGAGTATCTCTAAGGTGCCTGTTATTTTTTAAATAAAAGGCACCTTCAATACATGCAGTTGTATTAAGTAGGATGTGAACATGTTGAAGCTCAATATCTTCAAACCAATCAGATTGCAGTCAAACTATCCGGGTACACTCACAGACGAAGGCATATTTAAACAGCAGCCTTTACTATGAGATTATAGTATTATAAACGTGATAATATGGCAATATAAGTATTATCAAGAGATAAAACTCTTTAAATTGAACCCCTTCGTAGTTTTAAAGTGATAAATGACAACAATGTTGGTAAAAGATGGGATTTCACATCTCATGTGTCCTCTGTATTCTGTCAATCATGTCACCTCTGCAGGGGAAAATTTCAATTTCACACTCTGCTGGGGCGCATAACACGCACATCACTTAAACACAGGTACAGAAACAGAGGGTGGGTCGGGAGGGCTGTTAAAAGAAATGGATCAACACAAGATTTCATGAATAAGTAAACAACCAAGGGATGAACATAAATGAATATTTGAGACACGCCGTTGGCATACTAATAAAGATTTCACTGCTCCCAGTACAAGTAAGCAGAATAGGCAAAGAAGACCCACTGGCCCTTCCCCAGCTGTGTCTACTTTCAAATCAACAACAGCCACATGCACAGAAAAACAAGAATGGGATTAGACTGGTATTATGATTTGAGTCAGTGATTAAGAAGGGTTTTCATTATAGTGTAGGGTCTTTATTATGGTGTAACAAGGGGTGTGTCCAGATTTGATTTGAAGAAGTTGTTCCAAGTATCCATCTCCAGGAAGCTTCCTGTAAATCAACTGCAGCTCTCAAATTCACTGTATTCACTATCTGCAATCTGAATAATTCATGAATGAACAATAAATACCAAAAGAAAAAGAAAAAAGGTCTGTCAAAAGGAGAGATGACTGTGACCTTCTACGCAAAATAAGTGAAAGTCATGAAAGTCAGGAGAGCGATATGCAGAGAGCGAGAGCGAGAGAGAGAGAGCGAGAGATAAGACAGGGATGAAGAATGACAGGGGAACAGAAACAATGAAAAGAATGAGGGGGAAATAAAACGAGAGCTTTACAAATGAGAGAAATATTTCCACTGTTAAAAAAAAACTAAAAAAAACTCCATATGCTGGAGTGTGATACGGAAATAGGGCCTTCTGTATTTATGAATCTCTTAGAGCGCAATCAATGGGGTAAGCGATACATAAAAGATGAGGCCAAGTTTGACCTGTGCACTGAGGGGGAGGGGAAGTGTTCTGCAGAGCCTTGACTGGAGGAGACGGCGATTTAGACTCTGTCAGGGCATCCTTTGAAGTTTTGGCAGATGAGGATGGGCTGTGGATCAGCCCGTGGCCCGGCTGCATTAACCCCCCAAGCCCCAGCTATGCTTGCACTGAGTCAGCAGCAGCAGCACCAGCGGGCTGCCGGCCAACCCAGCATGATGCATAAACTCTACGCTGGTGTAGCACGGATCCATTATACAGAGGCATTATTCAAACTTAAGCAGTGATTATCTCTATGCTTTATTACATTTCCACAGCAGCATGACTTTACAACAGTCAGCTGCGGACCTGATGCTTATTTTGGACAAAGATGGTATTTGTGGAGCAGGAGCTCATAACATCAACTCAGGCGTCATGCGATTCCTTAACTGCCAGCAGACAGCAAAATAAATACACAAACAGGCAAGGACACATAGCTAGAAGATCAAGATCAACGGAGATTGAAAATCACACTCACACATATGCACACACACGTACAAACACTAAACGGACTGTTTGCACACTTTTGCCTGATTGTTTGAGGCATGCGGGCACTCTGGTGATAAATAGAGGTGAGTCACGTAAGAAAGAGGATTAGAGGGGCTGTGAAAAAGCAGAGAATTATTGACGGAAAAAAAGAGGATTTAGATTTAGCACTGCCAGTCAACAAGAGCCTCTAACCCCTCCCCTCTACATACACACACTTACACATAAACTAGTGATGATTCAGTAAGACCGTCTCAGATCACTTTGGACTGACATTGCTCAGGCAACCATAAATCCAAGCTGTGCCCCGGTCCGACCTGACTTTTTCTATTAGGCCTTATCCCTTAGCTGCAAACACAGGCAGCTATAAACATACAGTCACATCCTTCAAATAGCTGAGGGCCAGAACAGTGTAAATATATAATGAATGAATGAATGCACGAACACAGAGTCAGTAAACTTTTAGAATCTCATCTATCTGCAGAAAAACAGACACTAATCCGATACAAAATAAACCCAAATCTCTTTGTGAGACAAATAATTCCAGATTTTAAATAAACCATGGGCGATTAATCTAACTACTGGACAAAAAACAAAACAAAAAAAAAACCTTCCCCACTGACATCTGGCTTTTGTGTACAGTGGGAAAGGTTAGAATCGGCATTCATTGTAGCGACGATCGACTCTGCTGTAGTTACAGGTATTTTTCAGCTCCAGCTGGCAGCGATATAAACATGACACCCGTATGAACACCCCGATTTTAATTTTTCAGCACGATGCTATGTGAGGGACTGCCCATTGTTCTGATGGCCCATTATTCCAAAACCCCAATAGTCTGCAAAATGTCCTATTGGACCTAAAGCCCAATTATCCATTAGCCTAAAAACAAATGGACATAGGCCAAATTTTCCTGAAAATACACACTCTCCATGCAATTTTGGGTGAAAGGCATGACCCACAACTATGCATCTAATTACAAGCTGCCTTAATTGGTTAGGTTTAGGCATGAGTAGTGAAATTAGTTCAGTTTCAGGTTCGTGGTAAGAATATTATGGTACGCCAACCAGAGGCATAATAGGGCGGCTCATGCCTTCCACATAGTGGGCAAAAAACAATTATGGGACCGGTAATGTCTAATGGCATTTTTTATAATAATTAGTCACAATCTTCTGATAATTGCACAGTAAGTGTGTGTTATCGGAGCACTGGGCTTTTGGTCCAAACAAACGTTTTTCAGATTATTTGGTTTTTGGAATAAATAATAACAACATACTGTAATGTAATACTATGTGACGCATGTTGAAGTGAATATATAATAAATATAATCAACACAGAGAGCTAGCCAGAGACAATTTCAAGAAGGAGACAGAGTATAAAAATGTATTTCCAGGCCTATAGGTTGGACATAAAAACCTGTTTTAACAGTACACAGACAGACGTAGGTAAAACGCTTTGAACTATTCAAAATAAGAAAAAGAATGCGAGTTGCGTCTGCAAGTGTACCTATAGATTAATGTGCAGTTTGTTGCATAATTTAGGGATTTTTTAGAAGAGCACCGAGATGTGTACAGTATTTGCAATTGAAATGCTCGGTGTGATTCAGAGGCAGGAGGGGGGTTGACAGCACCCCACCTGGCTGGTAAGACTTCTAAAGGGCACACATAATGAATTCACAGTGCTGTAAAGTGAGACCCACACACTGATGACAGGTGGTCATTTTATTGAAAATGAGGTGTTTGTGTGTATATATGCGTGTATGTGTAGAGGCACAGAATCGCTTTAAGAAGGAGATTCGACTGTGTTTTCCGTTATATGTGAAATGTCAGATCAGTTATTTTCCAGT